CCAAGTTCGAATCCTTTTAGTTTCATTTTCTTAGTAAAAAAATATTTATTTTATTTTTTTAACCATTCCTATTTATTCCATTTTTTTAACAAAAAGTATATTTAAATATCAATTAAAAACAATATCATACAATATAATTAATTCTACTTATTTATTAATTGGATTTAATTGCTTAAGAAAATATAAAAGTAATTAATTTCTTACGTGTACGATGAGTTATTGGAAGCTTCTGTTTAAATTACGAATTTGACCATGAAGAGCGTGATCACCAAGTCATTTGGAAGGTTCCTGCCCATGTTTGACCCATCAAACCAAACCCGACCCTTTTTTTTTTTAATACAACTGTCATGTGTAATCATATATTACGTCATCGATGACGTATGCATATTAATTAATCTCATCACCAACCGACCCTTCATCTTTGGAAAACGACATCCTCTTTATCTTTCCAACATTCTTGCCAACCCCTAATCCACCACGTGCTCAATTTATCCATTTTAATACCTTGTTTTAAATTCTTATTAAATCTAAATAGTCGATAACTCAAAATCGATATAATTTTACTGAATACTGAAATAATCGAGATCGGATTTAACTGATATTAAATCAAATGAAAATACAGTCAACTTAAGAAAAGCGTGAAAAAGAACAAATCACATGTGATTAAATAGTATAATCACATGTTATACAAGCACGTTGCGTGACTAGCTATCGTGCAGACGAGTTTTTACACGACTTTGGTTGCGGTGAGCTGGTGACCAAGTTGTCTGTGTTCTTTTGGATGTGTTGTATCACATAAGAGATGGGCCGAAAAAGGATTTTAAGTGATGGCGTAATTTGATATAAGAAATAAAATCTATAGAAAACCTTTACAAAATCAGTATAAATTTGTTTGTTGGTTCCTTATCTCTGCACAAAAGGAACCCCTGTTCGAAACATGTTTTTTTTCTTTCAAAAACGTAGAACACAGAGTAAATTATGTTTTTAGTGTTTGTGGTTTATTGGAAATTTTTATTTTCGTTCTTGTGATATTGAAATTACGATTTTTCATCCCCATGGTTCATAATGCATTACCGTTTTTGTCCTCCTGAATGAAACTTTATTGCTTTTTGTCCCTGTGATTTACAATTCATTTTTATTTTGATTCCTCGTATTTAAGAGTAGTGTTCAGCTTCCAAACCATAGGGATGAAAATTGTAATTTCTAACAAACCACGGGGATTAAAAATAAAATTTACTCTAAAAGATATCTATAACATTTGACAAAAACTCTTAAAAACATTTTTTTATGCACAAGGTACTGTTTATTGATGCATATCACTTAAAATTCAAGATTACAAATAAATTTTGCATAAGTACAACTTATTAAAGCTCCGTATTCGAATTCATGTAACTAACTGCAGATAAAAATAATCAAATACAAGATAAACATTTCATTTTAAATATAAAAAATTTAAAATATAATTAGTATAATCATTGAGTTCTAACGGAATACTTGATTATTATCTTTATAAAAAAATTATATTATTAAATCTAAATTAAATTACTTCGTTACTAAACATAAATTAAATTATAATAAAAAAATTGAATTAAAGAAATTACACAAAACACAATAACTTTTAAATAGTTAATTTGATACTAATATCGATATTTTTTTTTTCAAATTGTTATGATATTTTCAAATTTATATTTTATACAAAAAATAAAAGCATTATCACTTTCGCAAAACCATATAAAACCGTATTATATCAACATAAAAAAATAACAAAACAAACCATTAAAATTGAAATAAGTTTCAATGCATTGCACGAATACTCTTCTACAATAAAAAAACACAAAATTTAAGTTTGAAACTAAGAAATTTGCACAAAAGCAACAACGTTTACCCATTTCGCCATTATCAAATTGTGTCAATAGTTTAGTTTCAAAAAATACAGGGACATCAACATAACAATACGATAGCATCCTTCAGAAGCGTAATTCTTCCCATTACGACAAAACCATGAAGCAGTGGCCTGTGCTACTGTATGCTCCTATGTAGGTGCGCCTCTTTATCACATGAGTATTTACTCTATAATCAGTTATAATCTGGTCTTTCTCGCCCGACTTCTTGCATAATTCTCCATATAATGTTGAACTATCATCAACTTATCTGAAATTGAATGATAAAAATACAGTTTTCTTCGGAATTATTGATTTGATACTTATATCACAAATTAAAGACATCGAATTCGATCCGCATGTTGTTTTCTATATAAAATATTATTTATCGTCAAGTAGCAGGAAAATAGTCTGGTTGTATATGTGAGGTATCTTTCAGACTAATTTTGAAATACGAAGCTACAACGACATTTCAATATATTTTAATTGTAATTTATTTGGTTATTATCAAACAATTTCTAATTTATAAACAAAATATTTTTTTCTATTAAATTATAAATACAATTATATGGTACCAAAAACTTCCATTTATTTATCTATTTGTAAATAGGGTTTTGTATTTAATACATCAAAAACTACTATGTATTGAGCTGATGTAAAATACGTATAAAAATTGTTATTTTTATGATTTTATGTTAAATGAACGATCAAAAAACGTTGAGAAGCACATTGATGTATTTAATTTTAAAGGGATGCTTGAATGTGCGTTTAAAATGGTTAAATGAACGATAAAAAAACGTTGAGAAGCACATTTTATAACAAACGTCGCGTCCTATTATAATACGGGATATGACACTTCTTACAAAATAATTAATGTGACATTTTTTTTTGTTAAAAATGTCCTAAAAAACTTGTTAAAACGTTCAAAAGTGTTCTATAAGCTTATTACAACATCTTTCGATATGACACCTTTTCCCCCTGTAAATAAAATATTATAAAATTATCTATTAAAACGGTTATAATTTGTTGACATTCTACAAACCCAATTTTATTATAGTATTTAATATGAAATGATCAAAATCAAATAAATCAACTTTAACTAAATTTGTTGCACAAAGTAGTGTTTGAATGTGTTTTTGTTACTAAAAACTTATTATCATTTTGTATGTTGGTGTTTGACAAATTTTTTTAATAAAATAAATGTACATAAATAATTTTGCTTTACCTTTAGATAATTAATTTTTTTGAAGTATATAATATTTATATATGACAAATGCAATAAATAAACTCATACACCCTCTTCATCTATATTGAGGTTTGAACCCCTGACTTCATAAGAAGCCAAATGTTACGATACCGCTACTACAAAGGTTCTTTGGTTAGATAACTAATTTCATTGCAATTAATATTTGTTTTATAAACAACTAGAAAAGTACCCGCGCAATACAGCGAGACAGATTTTGATTTTAATGTGCTATTTTATTATTTGTCTCTGTCGATGTTATAATACGATTTTATGTGTTTTTTAAGAAAGCAATAATGATTTTATTTCTGAATAAAATATAAATTTGAAGATATCATAAAAAGTTTGAAAAAAATATATCAATGTTAATATTAAATCAACTATTTAAAAGTTCTTATTTTTTATGTAATTTCTTTAATTTATTTTTTTATTATAATTTAATTTAAGTTTAATAATGAAATAATTTATTTTTTCTTTAATAATATAACATTTTATAAAAATAACTAGAAGAGTACTCGCGCAATGCAGCGAGACACATCTTGATTTTAATGTTTTATTTTATTCTTTGTCTCTATCGATGTTATAATACGATTTTATGCGTTTTAAAGAAAACAATAATGATTTTATTTTTGAATAAAATATA